TAATTTAGAGATGCCAGTTCACCCATCTGCACGTCGCTGGACTGTAGGAACAAACCAGGGAGGACATGGAAATCTCTACTGACAGAGTGGGAGCAAGATTACGGCCAATAGTGCCACCATGCCAGCTGCTTGTCACTTTTTATATGTGCAAATATTCTTTTACTCAAAATCGGTCATTAAAAAAAAACAAAACACTATTCACAAAACTGTCTAATGAAGTATATTTGGAAATAAAGGTTCAAAGTAGAAAGTTTAATGGAATTCTATGTTCACAGAGAATGGTCCCTGAGATATGTGGTTATGCTGCCGACCTGCTATCCATCACCTACCTTCTTGAATCCTTCAAGGACAGTCTTCATGTTCTCGTACCTCCGGAAGAGATCGGAGAGGGAACGTTCCACCGAGTTCAGGTCAGCCACGGCCTGATCCCTCTCCGCAGTCAGCTGCTGGATGCTCCGTCGGGATCCAGAATTGCAGCGCTGCTCGTCCTCTGGAACCGGTTTAAACAGGGAATCACCTTCAACCTCCTGGAATCAAGTTAACCCCAGAAGCTCCTGCCAAGATACTGTTTCTTCAATTCAAATTCAGATGTGCGAATGAAAACTTCATAGAAATATCAGCACCAGTAAGGAGAACAGCCATCTGTAAACTGCAGTATGTTGATTTTTTTTTTTCCCGACTATGACCTAGATGAGACTATGTACCACCCACTAAGGAGTATCTCAGGCAGGCTTTCAGACCAAGCAAAGAAGAGCACGATGCCTCTACTTACCTATCATCTGCGCGATGGTTTTCTCATATTCTGCAACAATTTTTCTGTTAAAATCCACACATGCAAATAAATGTGTCAATGACCTCTCCTTACACACACCTTACTGAGCATGTAAACGCTTTAAAAAAAACATGCAGCCTTAGAGGACACTGAAGCACCTCATCTCCATGACCTCCTGCCTGCTCTCCTCATATTTTCTCTTCCACTCATTGGCTTCTATCTCTTTAGTGATGATCTGAAAGGAAAATACAAAATTCAGTTATTTGAAAATAACAACCTTTTGGTCATATTATATAACGATTTTTTTTACTATTTTGCTTTAAACTTATATTACTATGGTTCTTCACATTTAATCCAATCCATTAGTGACTGCAGTCAAAAACATTTATAAAAAGTAAAGTAAGATGGAGAGAGTGTGTCGAAAGGCGATGGTGTTTGCGGGCTGCCTAACCGGGGCCTTTGCGTACCTCCTCTCTGATCAGCGCCAGAACAGCTGCTTTGTCCGCCTCGCTGATGCAGATGCTGTCCAGGACCGGGCTCCCTTTCCCTGGGTCCTCACTGTCCGCCAGCTTTGGGCTCGGAGTCTTGCACGGCTCCTCATACTGCGGAGAGGACAAGCGGCAGCAAGGCGGATGGTGTTATCTCTCTCACACCAACACTGTCCGTCCGCACTAAGAAAGGAGCCTGCTGGTTTTCCCGGGAGATGGAGAAGCTCATGGCTGTGAAGTAACTTTCTAATAGTTCAAAATGGAAAATCACATACTAGTGCATTATTGCTATAACAGCATTAAATATGAAATGTATAGCTAGAAGGTAATTTGTTTGGTCTAGTGCACTTATAAGTAAATAAACAGCTATTCATTGGTTTGCATGTTTTCTGGGTGGAAAAAAAAACATTTTCATCAAGCTTTATTTGCTAGGAGTTCTGTCCACGCTACAGTAAGAGATAATATTCATACTTCCATAACTTTGCGAGTCTGTTTTTACAGCTGGGAACATGGAGACAGAATGAAATGAGAAGCTTGGCATTAATCTGCATGTAATTAAGTCTGAAGCAAAATGCTGCAGGCAGTCAGGTGCTGAAGTCGTACAACACAACAGAGAAAATCCCCATAACTGCAAAATGCTTACTCTCCAGTTCCACTCGTTTAAAGGATTATGACATGTAGGTTACAGTAATCTGCTTTAGCATGGAGATTTAATCCCTTTGTCATCTGCTTTGTCACCTAGCATGAGCAGAATAATGATAATAATATTAATAATAATAATAATAATCATCATCATCATAGAGTGGGGGTTAAGGGCCTTGCTGAAGGACCCACAGGCATGAAGTTATTCTGCTGAGGACAGACTTCAGGCTTCTGATCACAGGCCAAGAGGCTTAGTCCCTGAGCCACACACTGCTCCTACCTGGTTGGCTCGAGTGTGAAAATGAAAAAAAGCAAACCAATGTGGTGATGTCATATGATGAATATTGCGATTGGTTAAAGAAGTAAAACGGAAGCCCCTCCCTTGTTGACCCAGGGACGCGTTGAAGTCCACAGCACTCACCGGATGGCAGGAGCCTTTGCTCTCCAGGTCTTCCAGTGCTCCCACCTGTGGTTCTGATGGAGAGGAAACACAGGACAGTCACTCATTAACTGGGCAAGATGACCTAGAAACACAGATCCAAGCTGATTAGTCAGATGTAGACTTAATAATAGGAGACCTCAAGCGTGAAATGGCTGATCATGAGTCAGGGGGGGATTCAAGCTTTTCCAGTGAATGTTACAATTAAACACAAGAACATAAGAAATGTACAAACGAGAGGAGGCCATTCGACCCATCAAGCTCATTTGGGGAGAACTTAACTAATAGCTCAGAGTTGTTTAAATCTTATCTAGCTCTGGTTTAAAGGAACCCAGGGTTTTAGCCTGCACTACACTAACAGGAAGACTATTCCATACTCTAACTACACGCTGTGTAAAGAAGTGCTTCCTCAAATTCATTTTAAAATGTTCTCCTGCTAATTTCCACTTATGGCCACAAGTTCTACCATTTAAACTAATATTGAAGTAGCCATTTGGCTGAACAGCATCCAGACCCATTAGAATCTTATAGACCTGGATCATGTCCCCCCTTAGTCTCCTTTACTCAAGGCTGAACAGATTCAGCTCAGCTAACCTCTCCTCATAAGACATTCCTCTAAGACCAGGAATCATTCTCATAGCCCTCCATTGCACCCTTTCTAAGGCAGCAATGTCCTTTTTAAGGTATGGTGACCAAACCTGCACACAATATTCTAGGTGGGGTCTTACCAAGGCATTGTATAATCTTAGCATCACCTCCTTTGACTTAAACTCCACAAACCTAGAGATGTAACCCAACAACCTATTGGCCTTTTTTATTGCTTCCCCACACTGGCAAGAGTTGGACATGGAAGCATCAACACACACACTGAGGTCTTTCTGATAATCAGCTACCTTTATTTCAGTGGAACCCATAAAATATCTTTTTATATTTTTGCTCCCAGCATGGATTACCTTACATTTATCTACGTTTATCTAAAGATATGACAAAACTCTTAATTCAGGAATATGAGTGTGTACTGACTTATTTTAAAATATAAAAATAGTCAATTAAACTTCATATCCAAGTTTATAGTGAGAATAGGGTATGGTGTAGCCTAATTAGGGAATGCAAATGAATTATCACAACATTTACACACGCAGGATGGTTTTGAGACACTGGTCTGGATTATGAAGGCAAACTGTCATGGCCGCAGGAAACCCATACAAGCACAATTACACACAAGTTTGTAATTATATCTTTGTGGGGACTCTCCATTCATTTCTATGGGGAAAACCCTAATCCCAACATGACGACCTTAACCCCAACCCAGCCCTAACCTTAAGCATAAGTAACCTAACAAAATATAGGACTTTTGACTGCAGACACAAATTTCATAGAATTGAGATTTATATTATAGGGACCTGGAAAATGTCCCTACAAGCTAAAAAGTAAAAGGTTTTACAAATGTCCCCACGATGTTGCAAATACCCCCGCCCCCATCCCGCACGCAGGCACACACACACACACACACACACACACACACACACAGTCAGGGCAGGACACAAGCATGCCAACCAGAAGGTGGGACCAACAAATATTCCATTAAAATATATGATATTTTATCATTTATTTTGTACTGTTTACTTCAAGTTCCTTCATTCTTAAACATTTATCTCGCGTTTCAAAAATAAAACTAGCGTCATTTCGATGGTGTCCACTAGATGGCATGAGAGACCAATCGCGCGGTCATAACTCGAGTTTCACATCAACATTTGGGCGCAGGATCTGTGAAGCAGGAAGCAGAATGACTGTAGTGATGCAGACGATTCACGATGGGCCTGCCAATACCGTATTGGCCCGAATATAAGACGACCCAGATAATAAGACGACCCCGTCATCCTTTCTGCAACTATATTTGGAAAAAGGCTTTGGAATAGCAAATCTTATCTTTATATAGAGAAATATTTTTATTTGACAAAAAGACATGTGTCTCAGTGTGTCATGGAGAGCAAGATCGAGTAGGCAAAAAGAGAATTTTCCCCACAGATATCAATAAATTATTATTATTATTAGTAGTACACAGATGGTCTGATGGACATACTCTATGCCCCTATAAGGTGGCTGTGTGAATCAACTGCTTGTTGTAGTACATGCTAACTAGATATATTAACCGATGGAACCAATAAAACAATGTTCAAAAATATTTCTATCCATATATGAATTCCCACAAAATCACCACATATTCATTACATATGTCCAGGTCTAGCAAATCAGATACTTGCTATCTATGTAATCTAGGTTATGTCTGGATTGAAGTAATACTGTAACATGCAGATAAATAAGTGACTCATAAACAGCATTTAACCCCAGATCTTAGCGCTACTTCAGCTAAATGGTGTTGACCATCAGGACAGTTCAAAAACAATGAAATAACGTTGCGCTGGGGTTTTACATGAGGTCTATAACCCAGCTCAGGACAGTGCACCAGTTCTCTTTGACCCAGCCGTCTGTATTCATAGCGTGAGGTTATAGGGTCTGCAAAGCTAGATGAGGGATTGGCCTTGTTACTATGGTGATCCCTCTAATGCGTAAATGGAATTTGTCTGTGCAGCTAAATTGCATCAAAGGTAAAGAGCTTTTTTCTGTCCCACTTAAAACCAGCGAAAGCTGACAGGCTGGTTCCCGGCAGTGATCTCTCTGGACTGGTACCCAGTCGAGGCCTGTTTGTTAACTCTGCCCCAGTTCAGGGACTGACCTGATGAGTCAATACATCCTGTTTATGCTCTCAGAGTGCATGTGACTGAAGAGAGAATGCGAGGGAGATGAAGGAACCGCCAAGAGTTGAACGCTGGGTGGCCTTTGAGGGAAAATCAGGTCAGGATAGAAGGTAATTGTGAGAAAATGAGAAAGTACAGAGTAGCGGAATCGAGGAAAATGCAGGAAATTTGTAGTTCAAGTCGGGGAAATTATGGGAGAACAAGGAAAGTTGGAAAGTAGCAACGGGTGTGTCAGCTGGGGGACTGGGAGAGTCTGGGTCTGGCTGATGACTCACTCTTGCCCTGGAGAAGCTTCCATCAGTGAAAACAAACAAACAGCATCAGGGCGGGTTCTGCCGCTGTCCTGCCAATCGCTCGGATGTCGACAAAGCCTGGCGTGCAGCGGCTCCGCTCACCTTCCACTGCCTCTTCAGTTACAGTCCTTTCTTCGCTGGCCTTTCCCGCTTTCTGCCCTGTCGTTGTGGAGGCCAGCTTCTCCTCATCAGTGGCGTGGCCCACGCAGTGCACAGTGCCGGGATTCTGAGGAACCACTGGCTCGTCCTCCTGTATGGGCAGGGGGCAGTGAGGCTCATAACTCAGTTTGATAGCTTCAATACCCAGTGCAAGTGAGAGATAACAGATAAAAATAAAAACAGAAATGTCAGCACAGCTGAGTCTGAGGACGGACATTCAGGGAGCAGGGAAAGGCATCAATGGTACAATATTTCAAACACCAATCCCTGTAGGCAATCGCAAATCTGTTATGAAATGCCCAACCCCCACATTCTAATGTGTAGCAGGCGGGAGCTGATGAGTCATCCCTCACCTGGTGAGAAACAGCAGGGCAATACAGTGATCATGGTGAATTTGGAATTTACAAGAAAAAATTCTCCTAACCAGAGCGGAGTGACACTGGGCACTAGGCTGCAACGCTACAATTGCTGGAATCAGGACACAGTGTAACTGCGCTCACCAATGCACGACCGATACCTTTCCTGGTTTTCAGAAGCACACAAACACGTTCCTAACATACCAGTTCAATTATGTTTCATCTTACCTCACCACAAATGTCCAAAACCAAGGCCTGATTGTCATACTTCTTGACTTTACACGCACCCCTATAATGAAACACAAATTTAACGTTAGGTCTTGGTGTCTGTTGTATTCGGCCTTTGTGCTGTAAAATTGCAGAACACAAATTGGGTCCTGGATGGATCAGAAATTCAGTTTGCTCCTGGTTAATATGAACATGATGACAGAGTACGTCATATCCCTGTATCTCGAGTGGGCAGGACTAAAGAAGTCTGCTGGTCACTATTAGCATTGTTGGCTAAAGGTAAGCAATAGAGGCAAAATGACATACTTATAGGGAGCAGATCATGGTCTTATAACCTAAACCACTAACAAGGGCTTGAGTCACCCCCCCCCCCCTACATAAATACTTAGCTGTAAATATGTACATTTATAAGCCTTTTTGAATAAAAGAGATAAACATCTAATTGGTTAGATTCTATCCTACTATATATCAATATTTTGTATAATAAATGATGAAATAGATTAACAATAATGCAACTGATACTGGTTAAATAACAACACCATAACACTCAAGGAAATGTAGGTTCTGTCTGTTGGGAGAACCTGGGATTTGTATCTAAACTGAGGGGTGATCGCGGGGTCCCATCCCTCAGATCATCTGTGCCCATGGCTGGCCATTGCTTCCATTAAATGTATGTCTTCTGGGAATTGCTATGGACAACAGCCTTGGTTGATAGACAGAGAGGACTGTGGGGAAATCTACTGGAATGAGGTTTACGTTGTCGCTTTTGGGGCATGTTACTTCTCAACACGACGAGTGAGGGTGTGGATCTGAAGAATTTCCCTGTTGGATGAATAAAGTTTATCTAATATTATTTTAATACCGGGTCAAATATTTTTGTCCCTCCCACAAATCCTGCTAACAACCAATGAACAATGAACTTTAATCTATGATATCAATTTTAAAAAATCTAAAAAAGTTTACAAAAATTAAGATTTCCACCTGGATGTATTACTTTCCAGATACCAGTTGGCTCATTATAGAGAAAATAAAGTGAGGGGACAATTTAAAGCTAAACCTTGCTGTGTGGGTTTTTTGGGGGGGATAAGTCCCCCTGTACCCCCCAGTTCTACTTTGGTGACAACAAACATAGCATAGAGGATCTGCATCATGGGAATGAAAGCCAAAGGGGGACTGAGCCCACGCTTTTCAGACATATTTTAAACCTCCATCCGTTTAAAATAGCGCATGATGGACGCCTGGACGTACATATGAACACTTCAATGAGGAAAATGGATGAAGGAATGATCGCAAACAAGATCAAGACACAGTGTGGTCGCTTTGTGAATGGGATGCAGTGAAATCATCGCTGTATCTCTCAAATTATCCAGATTTTTTTAAACAGCGCAAAAACACCAACAACAACAGCAGCAACAACCAAAATATGGCACAGTGGAGGCACTATGAATGTGAAATCATAGGGAGAGAGGGAATAAAAATATTCAGTTTGGATCTGATGCAGAAGATGAAGGACGGTGAGGATGTTGCTAGGCAACGACAGCAGCTTGCGCACACAAACAAGGCATCTCCACACGACGGCATGCAAAGTGGGGACAACAAGAACGTTCAAAGAGGCAAGCTGAGCGAGAGCGAGAGCCCAGGCAGAGCCCAGGCAGGCTACAGGCAGAGCCCAGGCAGGCTACAGGCAGGCTACAGGCAAGGCTACAGGCAGAGCCCAGGCAGGCTACAGGCAGGCTACAGGCAAGGCTACAGGCAGGCTACAGGCAAGGCATGATTTTTGTCTCTTTTGTGGCGTGGGGGGTAGCAGGAGTACTTACAACAGAAAACAGAGAAATCTCACTTGTTCGGTTGTCCTGATGCAAACAAAATGAAGGGAAGGGCATGGAGAGAAGGATGATGAGGGTGAGAGGGGAGGCAACGGTTAGGGAGAGGAAGGAGAGATAAAAAGAGTTGAGAGTAAGCTACAGGAAAAAGCTATAAGCAGAGACAAGCTAGTTCATTAAGAGGAAGAAAGAGATTGGTGGAGAGGATTGGAAGAGGAAATATTCATTGACATGGAAAAAAACCTCCACTGTTGAAACAGCAATCGGTATTTTAAAAAGCAAACCCTCTTCATTTATCCAAGAGCCAATTTCATGGCTTAAACAAAGTAAAACATCGGTACAGTAAGTCCCCCAGTTACGAACAATATCGGTCCCCTAAGTCTGTCTTTAAGTCAAATTTGTAGGTAAGTTTGAACAGGTACATACGGTTCTTATTTAGTGTCAGTCAGTTAAATGTTTGTCATCGTAAACAGTATATATTTACTGTAGCGTACAGTACTGTATCTAGAGCCAACAAACCGCTGAAGCTGCACAATGTTTTCATGAGCGTCACAAAATAGTGCATGTATCCATTATTATGAACCATTGTATTTAACTGAATTTTTAGTATAATAGGCCTTATGGTAGTCCAATCGCAAGTACAAGTTGTCCGTAAGTCGGACGGTCTTATTTCGGGGGGGGGGGGGGCTGCTTATTTAACTGATCCACTAGCTGCGATGCACCGGTAAGCCAAAGCTGAACGTTACGTCGGAGTGTGGACTCACGTTATCATTCGGCCCTTGTTCTTCTTTGGCGACTGAGTGCCCTTCACATCCTCCTCTAGGGGGAGCTCCACTTTCCTACTTTCCAGTTCATTGTCTGGCCTCTTGGTCATACTTGTGGGTGCTACCACAGCCAGATTTTTGGAGGGCTTAAAGGGGTCCACAGAGTCATCAAAATTTTTGGAGTCAAAGTTATAAGACCCCTTGGCGAGCACTGGAGAACTGCTCGTTCTGGAGTTGCCCCCAAATGGGTTAAAGTTGGGGTCATCCCATTGACTGGGGTCAGGGTTGTATGAGGTCTTGGGGATGGGGACTTCATCCAGGCTGGTTGGTGCTGTTGGCTCTGGAGCAGATTCTGGGGCAGGTACAGGCTTGGGCTTCTGTCTCTTGGTGGTTACTTTGCTGCTTGCTTTCTTACCCAGCTTCCGCTGTGCTATTGGCTTCTTGGCCACCCCAATCTCCCCATTGTCCTCCACACCAAACTCCATGGCAACAGGCTTGGCGTCCAGAGGAAGGTCTCCAGCAACTTCTGTTTCCCCGGTGTTGACACTGCAAGGGGGTGGGGAATTTCGGACCTTAGAGCCGCCACTGGTGAAGGGGTTGATGCTGTCATTGTACAGGTCTGGGTCAAAGTTATAGTTGGACTTTGAGATGGGGATCTCATCTTCCACATCACCCTGACTTGGCCCATTCAGCGTACATGGAATCTTCAAGGAGGGGGGCCTGGCCTTTGACACGCTACTGCTCTTGACTTCAGTGTGTCCATTGCAAAGCTGCTTGTCGCCAACTTCTACTGGGCTGCTGGGGGGCTTCAGTTCTGATGTTGGACTTGAGGTGGTCTCCATACCCGTTGGGGCATTTTGGTCACCCTCCATGTTACTGAGCATTTCAACGGCCTCCCCCTCTCCCACCGCATCCCCCATGAGGCCGGATGGAGGTATTAAAGACAGCTCATCGTTGGAGATTTCATTCACTGATGGGTTTGGAAGCACAACAGAATCAGAGGTCACCTGTTGGACATTCTCCTGGATATCTGAAGAAAAGGAAAGAAGGATTTAGTCGCAAGATTCAAGTATGAGCTCATGTGCATATATCCCCAGAAAATAAAGCTATACATCATAATCTAATATGCATCTGGTTTGGTATCATCAAAGTAGCAAAATTTAATCTTTGGGATTTTTAATCTTCTCTGTCAGGTGAACATGGTGTGGTGAAGGTCATATTGTGTAGAATATTTCTCAAGTTGTAATGGTTTCTTCTATCACACAAGAGAGTGACACCAGTGCACCTCAGTGACATCAGTTATTCGAATGTAACTTGACAGGTCATCGCTGTGGCAGGGGAGCATTTGGGATTACTGCCTAGCAAACAGCACGCATTCAAGTGGAGAAACAGCGAGAACTGATGCTGACATATTGGCATTAGCCTGGAGCTGAAGGAGGAGAAGCAAGCGTTTGTGATGTGTAATCATCATGGCTGTAAACTGCTGCACTGTGACGATTCCTGATTAGAAGCACAAAAATCAGAACAAAAAACACATTAGGAAACAAAGAGGGAGCCAATGAACTGCACAAGCAGACTCCAGAATGTTCAGATCTCTGGTGTAGATGTTTGTTTATAAAGGTAAATAGGCCATTCCATTATGAACAACAATAACGGACCTAACCCTATTATAAAAGGGGGCCTATTTTCCATGACGATGAGGTGGGTCCTATAGAGATGACCGGCTCCCTGACGATATCCAGTGAGGGCTGTGTTAAATTAAAAAACAATAATTGACAAACAAATTTTCGTTCGATGACAAAAAGCATGGAGACACTGTTATACTTGAGGGCTTTGGTGACTTTACTCACGTCTAGCAAGCAAGATTCTCCTAGTTGTGGCTAAGAGGAAGGAAAGCAGAGACTAACGCTAAACTGCCTGATGTGTGATACTCAAGTACAATGTGTCCCATTCTGGTCCTTGCGGACTCACAGACAGTTTTTGCTCCCTCCCAGCTCTCGGTAGTGAGCAAAAATGTCGACTGACTGGCAGGGAACTCGGAGGGAGCAAAAACATGGACCGACTGCAAGTCTCTGAGCACCGGATTGGGAAACACTGCTCGTGTATATCAAAGGCGTCATTATCGAGGCTACGCTACAGTCCCTATACACACCTACCTTTGCCCTCCAGAGACTCTATGCCAGAGTTAAACTTTTCGTTCTTTTCTGTAACTTTATGCCTCTAATTTGCTGTTTTTTGTCAGGTTCCAGGCTTCCAGACACTCAACCCCCCCGATTCCCAGGGCAAAAAGCGGTACTCAGCCTCTGCACCCCCAACCCCCACCTCACAGAGTTTAATATTTGAATGCCACCCCCCCACCCCAGCTCTGTCCCCCCCCCAGCACCCTGGAAAAGTTCCGGAAACCACAGCAGTGGGGTGCAGTGAGAGAGGGGACGGAGGGAGGGATTTGGGAGGGGGCCCACGACCGGGCGGCTGACGTTTGGTTTGGTTTGCTGTTTGGCTCCCATGCATGTAGAACTACCACCCACTTCAGTCAGAGACAATTTCAAAGATCACACACACTTGCTAGGTTGCCGGAGTAATTGACATTAGGTTTGTCGCTGGCCTGCAGGCACAAAGGTAAGGTTTGCTGCACAAAATAGTGAAATTTCACAGGCTAGTATTAAAGTCACCAGCAAACTGTCTCAAAAACCTCCTTTAACAAAGTATGTCTTAGCATATAGCATTAAGGGACTAATCTAATCTAACCAGGCTCTGCTGTATTTAAACTTAAACACCCCTGAAGTGCAAGAGTCCCTGGAGTTACAGCATTTTGCTCAGTAACAGCTGGTTGCCTGGTGAGCATGATACTGTAAATCCATCAGAGGTCTACATCAGTGTTTCTCAACCTTTTTTCTGCCACGACACACGGAGGTTTTCAACCAGTGTGCCACATGTGCTGCAGCGCTTTGCTTGAAAACGCTGATCTAGATGCGGCCCGACGCCCCTCTTTGGTGTTGCAGTGAGAGGAGGGCGTGCTGGAGGCTTTGCAGGGCGCGTGCATGGACTGCTGTCAGCCATCTGTGTGCGTGGGACTATGAACGCGAGGGAAAAAACACAGAGACAACAAAGAATGTGGGACTGCAGGCTTCCAGGCCGTCGCAGTGGATCCTCAAAAAGGAACAAGAGAAGAAGACCGAATGTCCTTCTCTACCTGGCTGCTGGACAGGACAGCCATCGACACCTGGCTCCTGGGTGCCGACACGTCAGACTGGCGGGTGGCTGCCAAATCTCCATCTCCCTGCCTTCTGCTCACTCTCTCTCTCTCTCTCTCTCTCTCTCCTGATTTCTGAGCTGCCAGGCAGGAGGAGCAGAGCAGTAGCTGGCCTGGCGCTCCTCTGTCGCAGTGTCCCTGTCATCACTTTGGAGGTGACAATCCCCCCAAAGTCCCACTCCGTGGTTCTGCAGGATTTTGCCCCACTTCTCAGTCACCGTTCCACTCCTGCTCCTACTTTCCCTTTATCTTTAAATTGTCTCCATCCTTCCCTTGAACAGCAGCCAGACAGACTCAGAGCACGGTTGCTGTGGTCACAGTTAGGAGCATTAAAGCCTGCACAGTTCCTCCAGTGCGCAGAGGGCTTTAAACGTTTACAGGCTCTCTCTCTCTCTGTGGGAGGGTTCGAAACCAGCAGCAAGCACATCACAGTATGTGCCTGCAGTGTTTAAAGCGGGCCGTGCCGGAGCCTGAAAAGGTCACGCTGTCAGAAGCTGCCAATGCCCCCTGGGACATCAGTCAGACACTCTTCAAACCGCATGAATTAAATTGACAGTAATTTATGTCTCTCCGGTCTTCTCTATTCCCAGCAAGCCGGCTAAGATCTGGGGCCTCTTCTGCAGTTTAGCCGTTTTGCAAACCCACGGCTACGTTAGATGGGAAGATGAGAGCAGCATGATGAGGGAAACACTTGCGACAAGTACGGAGGAAATAACAAAACCCCGAGTTGGTTTCCATAGAAACCGATGGTCCTGTAAATGGCGTCCAGGATGATGGCTGACTATGACAAACGTCTTATCTCTCAGACTTAGCATGACTCACCGCGCATCTTCATTTATCTCAGAAAGCATCAGCTGTACAGACATGGCAAAGAGGCAGAGAGTGTAGTTTCAAAGCGAAGATATACTTCAGTCCCAATGTCGACATGAGGCATCTTCCATGAAGTTTCCACCAGGCCTCCACATCATAGGCTTTGATCCATTTTAATGATGGAGTGCTGTGCCAGCGGGGAGGTTCAGTAACCACCACCCCCCCCCCCAAAATAGCTGCAAAATAGCAGCCCTCACAATCCAAACACAGTGCTGCAGGAACCAAACCAGCCAGGCACAGCTATGAAAGCACAATGGGCCAGAAGCTGATGGGGAACACTCCGAAAGGTACCATCACAGCGGGGTTCTGGGGTGACGGTTCTGGTGGACCATTCAAGTCGGCACTGAATGAACTTAGAACGGGCAAACTGTTCCACTCCTGTGTCCAGTACAGTCCAAACGGAGCCACAGCAAACATGGAGCGGAACAACAAAGTGATGAATCCCCTCAAACCAGAGCGTTTCTCAGCTGGGGGGGGGTCCACAGCCTTGTGTTTGGTGTCAGATCTTCCTCTTAATTAACCAGATAGAAGCTGGTTGGTTGGTTCGCCTGCTTGAATCCAGCTGGCTGACTTCATATATATTTTTGAAAAGCATCATACCATTAACCAGACAAAGCATCTATGCAACAAGTATTCCTTAACAACACCCTGTCAGACAGCTGTAAGTGCAATTTCGTAAAATATCCCTACTGGGGAGATCATTATTTGTGGTGGGAATCTGAATCTGGAGAGGAAAAGACTTTCCTGCAGAAGATGGGCAGCTACTGGTATGAGCCTTTAATGAAGCACATAAGCCAGTGGCATGTGCCCCCCCCCCCCCCCCCATCCCCCCTGAAATGTACTCTGCTTGTAATGCTGATACGCAAAGGACAACCGGAAAAACTGCCAGGCCGACTCCGTGGCTGCGTGTGTCGCGGCTGCGTGTGTCCGTGGCTGCGTGTGTCGCGGCTGCGTGTGTCCGTGGCTGCGTGTGTCGCGGCTGCGTGTGTCCGTGGCTGCGTGTGTCCGTGGCTGCATGTGTCCGTGGCTGCATGTGTCCTGTCCTCCTTCTCAGGACCACAAATATGCTTATATAAAACAGAAAACATGACAAGCAGAAACTTTTGAGTCTGTGGTGGGTTATTCTGACAGGAACGGGGGGAAGAACTGGACCACGTATAAAGTAGAGTACATTGTTACGCACTGGAAGCACTGGGAACCACAGAAAAAAAAACAAACCAAGAACGGGGGAGGAAAAATGTATGTGTTATTTCTGCAGTGAAAGAATGTTTCCATGTCATATTAATAACAGTCTTGGGGGGGGGGGGAGAGAGGGGGCGTAAAACTTGTCTTTCGGGTTCGGATCTATGCGAATTATACTCTGGAATGTTCCATAGGAGAAGGCGAGAGGAGGACGCCTGCGATGGTCCTGAGCTAAAGGGGAGGAGATGCCTTCTGCAGCTCGAGGTCTGGGCAAGGAGGGAGCGGAGCTTCCAGTTTGGCCGGAAATCATCGGGCCAGGCCTGCACAGCCCGACGCAGGATTTACTGCGTGGAAGCTCACGCCGATGCCATCTGCAGCAGCACCGTGCGAAACGCGAACCGGCAGAGTCAGCTCCCTCGCAGGAGATGCGGCGCGGATACCAGCCAGGTTACCGTCTGACCCTCAGCCGTCGCATTAATGCGATTAATCGCAGGTTCAAACATGTGAAGTGTCAAATATGCTGACAGCCAAACAAAAATTTTTTTTAAAAAGAAACAGAATAATTACAGTAGGCATGTTTACAAAAGAAATGCAAAGTCTTCAGTCTCCATGTTAAGGGTGACGCTAAGGTCACAGATCATGGCTGAGAGGGACATGCCAGTACGGTGATGTAACCACATGTGTGACATGTGAAAAGAGGGAGTTCAATGGGCAGTTCCCAAGGGAGAGGAACGGCAGGACGAACCCGACGTCTGTGGACACAGCATAATGTTAAAATGTCACCGGGCCAGTTCTGGATGGAACGGGGGAGGGATTCGGTTTCTGCATCACACGTAACACGCACTAACGGTACACTCTGTGCCCGCGGCAGATTCTGCGTTCCTGTTTTGGTTGCCGTGGCAACATCAGGCTGATGACAGATGAGGTGCATGACTCCAGGCGGATGGCGTTAGCCGACCTGGGTGCTCTCACCTGGGCTGCCACTGGCCTGGTCCTCCAGCTCTGCCGTGCTGTTCCCACCGCTGTGCACTGGACTCTCCGCCTCTGGAGTCTCGAAGTGGCCCTCGGAGTCCGAGCTGCGGACAGATCAAACGGCGGGTGAGCTCGAACCCTCACATCCTTACATTCTCCTGACACCAGGGATTGTCTTTGCAGAGGAAAGGCAAAAACATCAGGAGTTCTGGATTATTTTTTCACAGATGTTTTTTAGCTTCTGTGTAACGCAATACAACTCGGTACAACTGAGGCGATTCGAGTTAAAAACCACATTTGTCAATCTAGGACCCTTTGTGAATTGGAAGCCTTCCAGTCTCTTTCCGTTAACCTCCCGGCTCCTAGCTGCCCAATCAAACCACTTTACAGTTTGATTGACACAGTGTGGACCCGCCTCCTTGTTGTTCTGCCAGCCAGGCCGCATGGGAGGGCCACCATTTCTTTGCCTTCGGTGTCTCTCGGCAGACGCACAGGAACCTCAGCAGGCTGTTATCTGAGGGCAGTAAACAGGCAGAGGGACGGCGGCCCAGGCAGAGCAGCTCTCGCGTGAGGCCATCGCTATTCTGGAGCCCAGAAAGCATATGGTCACGCCACGGACCCCAAATCCCCACTGCCACACCAGTGCAGATCGTGCCCACGATGAGGCAGACAGGGAAGCAGTGGCAAGAAGATGCGTCAGCCCCCCCCCCCCGAGAATCGACCCTGACCACGCACAGGCATCTTCTCACACAGGTGGAGCAGCCCCACCCTCAATCCGATGGGTGACCCTCCCCCAACACAGCCTCCTCTGCCCCAGTCCTCACCCCACGCTGTCGCCCCCTCCCAACTCGGAACACACTCTTCCTAACCAGCACATAAACAAACTCGCCTGCCGCCCGGAGACTTCTCGTCACCAAAGAACACTTCCTCTTTCGGCTCCCCCTCAGCTCCCTGCCTTCCTTCCTCCTCCTCTTCCTCCTCTTCTTCGCCCTCTCCTCCACCTCGTACTGCTGACCAGGTCCACTTGGCCCACTGCACGGGTGACAGCCACGACATCTCCGTGAGGCTTTCCCTCCTGGTAAGTCAGGTCTCTGCGATCGGTGAGGCTCCGCTCTCTCTCTCTCCTCCTTTCTCTCTCTCTATTTCTCTCTCTCTGTTGAGGGGCAGACGTCGTGTCTGTTACTCAGCCAGCCCTGTCACTCCCACGGTGTGGTCTCCGTTCCTCTAGCCCGTCTCCGTCAACACCAGCATGCTGTCTTCACCTCCGGCAGGCTTTGCTAGCTCCTGTCTCTCTGCCTCCCCTCTCCCCCGGCGCCGAGAGGAAGTCTGCTCCACAGCGCGCTCAGAATACCACAGCACTGCACATCAGCTGGCTCTCCGCTCCTCGGAGAGCGGCCCTCACCCCACCTCCACCGGCTCTCTCTCTCTCTCTCGCACACTCACTCAGGGCCAGCCTATTGTGAAACAGAAGAGGGAGTGGAACTTTCTGAGTGCTGCAGGGCTTGCTCTTCGCATGTCCTCGTCAACCCTGTTGCCGTGAAATGGTACGGCCCTGCCGTTCTGAATGGGAGGAAGGCTGCGGGTCTGTAGCATTCATGCGTAGGGGAAGAGCGAGCAGACCAAGGGGCGCGTTCCACAGGAGAAACGCTAACCGCTGCCCTGCCCGTTCAGCACAGGCCCCCCAGGTGACTTAGTGGGTGGCTGACTTCCCCTCCCCTTTGTGCTAAAAATATGTCAGACTTGCGTGCACGTGTTCTAGTCAGATGTGTTTTTCGTTGTCGTTCCAACATTCCAACGGTGTGGAAAAAGCTTCACAGTATGACTTAAAGTCACAGAAAAAACTAAAAATGAAATCACAGTCTCTCACTACATTGTTCCCCTGCCATGTGCCAGAAATGTACCATCAGATATTCCTTTGTACCATGTTTTCACCTCAGCTGCACACTGTGGTTCTGACAACCTGTGGAGTGATATTGTTTCCTACACACAGCAAACACCAGAGGAGATATTTCAGACCTCTAGGGCTGACGACCCCCCC